ACACTTAGACAAAGATCAATAATCCCTCCTGATCTTTGTTGCCTTTATTATGGAATAAAAATAAAACCTTTTTTGCTGCCTTCATTTACGATAAAAAGTGCCTAATTTATTACATAAAATACCTTTCATTATGACAAATAAGTACGAACTTTAAAGCGAGTAGTAAAGGAACCCGGAGTGGTATATTGGAAACCCGAAACGTTTTTCTGGGCGTTATTCACCGTATCCTTAACCTTGAGAAAATCACATGAACTCGTATCCCTGGCGATATAAGGTGGAGGGATGCGTGTGTGTAGGTGGGGGCAAGTGGAAGCAAAAATGCAGTTTTTTTTAAATGAACCCTTTATTCTTAAAAGAACAATTTGGCCTCAGCTTACCATCGCGGACTACGTGGTCTTTAACTTGTTGCCACTGCTTCAAGTTCTCAGATTTTGGTGAGAATAAAAATAGAAAATCCGTTAAATAAATTTCAACTGTGTGCAGACGCAAGTGCGACATAAAATGCACGGGGTATTAAACCTCTTCATTATCTGCGGAACTCAGGAAAAACTGACGTAGAAGGCACAAAATAAGCATATGGCATTGTTTTCTTGGATACCAGCACACAGTCTGAGGTCTACGAAATCGGTTAATTTGTGCTCTCTATCCCTATTCGTAACATTTCAAGGAAAGGCAGTAAGGAAATGGGGCCCGCTCATGCAGATTTTGTGATGATGAGGTCCCTATCCATTTTTTTTTTTTTTTTAATCTTTTTTTGCCCGCGGGCCTTGTTTGGTGCCACTGTTAATAACACTATTTCTATTGAGTGCCAGTTCAGAACTTACAGAAGTCTCAATGGTCTCAGTTTCCTCGTAAGAAAGGTTCTTGGTCTCCGGAAGCTTTGTGGGCAGCTCCCCTATTTTCTGCATGTCAAGATTAACCCGGCAGTTGAGACAAATACCTGTTGAGGGAATCGATGGAAAATGCAGGTTTTTGCTGATACGATATAATCACTATTCTGAACAACTATGGTCTTAATTTACACAAGTAAGGGAACCTGTTTTAAAAAACTTAAATGATAGATTTTCCTGCCCTTTCCTATACTTCAACTCTTCAATTCCCTACCCTTTGATATACCTGAAGCCTGATAAAGGTACCCTTTAGGGGCTGAGTCTCCCTGTAACTATCTATAAGCCATCAGGGAATCTGCTTTAAAAAGCTGTAATTTTAGGAGTCCGGTGAAGGCTTCTAAATTCACCTTTTTGCTGCTACAATCATTAATATAAAATGTTAGAATAATGAAAGGAAAAGAAACACGTAAATAAACAAAGGCTATTGAATTTGTGACCGTCACGGCTACTTAATTATTGAAAAAGTCAAAACAAAAAAAAAAGAAAAGTGCTTACAAAGTGCTTTAATTGAAGTGTCAGATTGGACCGCCATTTTAGAGCTGGTCTGTTTGGTTGAAAAAGATGAAAAATGATGTATACATACCTGAACCAACTGGAATAAAAATTCCCAGTTTCTTCCATATCAAATAACAAGCACTTTTGCCAAGTCCTCTTTCTGCCTTTGCGTTTTTTGGGCTTGTCCGCCGTGCTTCGAGATTGGCGGAGGAACTCAGCACAGATTCGATCCTCGACGCCACCCAATACCAAGGGATGAGCGGTGCTGGGGACAAATCGTTAATTCCGAAAGGTCTAACTCCGAACAAAAGGATGTAGATACTCTTCTCAAAATAAGTTCGATTTCGGTTTCTACGTCAGTTATTGACAAGGAAGACTTATGACCCGCGATGTCTCTTTTGCAGTTCAGAAATTGAATAACCTCAGTTGATCTGCTCCTATCTCTGGGGTCATAAGAGCAAGAACCGCCGACTAAGGAGCTAAAAGAGCACTTAACGTCCCTGATGACACAAAACTGGCAAAACAAATTCACTCCAACTTCGCTAATTAAATATTTCCTCTTTGCATTTAATTGACTAATTCAATTTACTACGGCTAGTAAACTGCTTCGAGCTTTAGCCAACTCTGTCATTTCTTCAACAAATAATAGAAATGAATCCTCACAATTGAAAAACATATCAATTTAAAAAAGCATCTATGATTTTTGTCTTTCTGTTCCGATTCTTCTG